TAGCCCCTTTGAATAAAAGCCCTCCTGGTTATAGCCCCTTTGAATAAAAGCCCTCCTGGTTATAACCCCTTTGAATAAAAGCCCTCCTGGTTATAAGGGAATCCAGACAACTCACCAACGGAACATCTCGCCAACACCAACTCGCCAACGCATAAAATCAAGTAGCTAGAGCTGTTGCGAGTTGGCGAGTTGCCCTCGATCAATTTAATAGAACTTATCAACACTTATATTAGATATTTAGGCATGGTTTCAGAGCGTTTTCTTTTGAAAATATTACAGAAGAATTATTGAAAAAAGTGAAACAAGGGTTTACAGTTTAGTACTCGTATTTCGGTTACATGCAGCCTAGAAAATAAGTTGTGAAACCTATCTTAAAGAAGTGTGCCACAGTAAATATACCAAAAAAGGAAAAGATTTAGAAATATCTGCTTGTGAATACAGTAAGAGAAATGACTCAAAAACTTTAGATGCTGGTGACAATATTAACTAACACGTGTAATGACTCATCAATTGAAACCGGCAAACTACCAATTTCTGTAAGAAATCTTTGCTTAATTCCCAAAATAGTTAATAAAAACAACTATCTTTTACCTACAAGAAATTTCATATAAATGGGAAGGCAATTAAAGTAAAAAAAACATTGTGAATAACTCACAAAACCTCAGACGCCAAAGAACTGTTAGGACAAGTTTCAACTTGTCAAGCAAAACCGGCAAACTACCCGATTTTTGTGAGAAATCTTTGCTTCTTGTATCACACATCTTATATCTCAAAACAAGGGATACAAGGTACTGAAATATAGGAAAATGTAGTTAAATTCTTGTAGATAAGAACGTTTAACACAGTTTAAATCTTTAAATTTTAGTTTTTTTTAAATCAAAATCTCATAGATGATTTTACTGCCCCTGGTAGGTGTCTTTTATTATGCACGCCCTTTGTTATGTCTCAGTGAATTTGAGAGGCTTAACTTAAAAATGAATTAAAATTTAGATCAAGTTTAGGCAAATTGAAAATTGGCTGGAGGAAATTACAATATTTCAAAACTTCTTAAAAATATGAAAAATGTACATGTGGCTGGAGGGTTTGGTTGTACGACATATATTTCTTTGTAATGTTTGCAGGGTTTGGATACTTATAACATTGTTAGTATGGCCAGTCGAACATCCTGAAACTTAGTCACTAAGGCTTGAGAAGAACAGATACTAGATAAACTTCAGTCAAATAGACTCAACTCAAGTTAAGAATAACATGCAAATTTATTACTCAAATTCAAACAACAGCTTTCTAATTCACACATTCGCCCCATGTAAGGGAATCCGGAATCGGGAATCCACGAAATTTTAGGCTTTGGAATCTGGAATCCAGTTTATAATGGAATCTGGAATCCACCCTTAATTAAATTGAAATTTAGATCAGGTAATTGTCGTTTAATAGTAGAGGTTATATGACAAATGAATTCAAAAGGGAGGAATGGGCTATTTGCAATACGTTATGGTGTCTGAAACTTAATGTATGCGCTTTTGTCAATTGTTTTTTATCACGTTAGCTATATATACCAGGAACACCTCCCTAGTTATACTGGCAAGTATATCAAATATAATTTACGGAGAAAGTATCTGAAAATTAACGATATGGAATCCGGAATCCGCAATACAAAAGTTTTGGAATCCGGAATCCAGACCCTTGGAATCCGTAATCCAGAGTCTCGGAATCCAGAATCCAGCACTTGGAATCCGGAATCCACCACAATTCCGGATTCCCTTACATGGGGCGAACACATGGCTTTGCTCTAGTGCCCTTGCACAGTCCCATATATGTCTGTCTGCATTTCATAAAAGACGAACTTAGTCCGCATATTGTTCTATTGTTAATGCATCATTCTAAATAATTAGTAAAAACACACAGGTGATTATTGAAAATCTCACGCGCTGATTGGTCGAGAAACTCACACTATCACACGACAATCACCTCCAGCGATAATACAAAATGGCGGCCAGCCGCTTTGTTGCTGTTACCGGGAAAAAATGTCTTTTATCTTCTTTTTTCCTTTTTTTTTAAAAAAAAGAATCACCTCTGTATTTTTACTAAAACAATTATTTGCCTCAGCCTCAGTGAATATCGGAGAATATTCCCCGATATTCACTTCGCCTTCGGCGAATAATTGTTAAATAAAGTGCATTGCTGGGTATAAGAAGTTGCAAATTTCTGTCTTTTTAGTGCCAGTCCAGTCCAGTAGAATCCAGGTTTTACACAATGCTCCAAACGCCCTTGCGGAGGTATAGGATTTTGGCCTTTGTCAACCAATTATTTACTATCATAATACCACGAAGTAGCCCTTCTAGGCCTTGACGACATCATACTTTCGATAGATAGATGCCAAAACAAAAATATATTATGTAATGCGTCTAGAGTCGCATGAGCTGCAGAAGCTAATTAAAAGTGTTCTTAAACAAAGATAATTATTCGCTTGTTCGTCTTTCTTTAAAACCAGATTGTCTTTTTTACCTTAACAAGAGAATTTATATCTCGCAAATCTTATGCAGTGGTTCTATAATATAGTATGCGAAATATTTACATTTATATATATATWTTTTTAGTATACGTAGTTCCCTCCACGGAGTCTAAGGAGCAATCTAATACGGAAAACTTTTCCTTACATCTATGTTTTTAATATCAAAAACTTTAAAATTTAAGGAATGAGTTAAATCAGAAGCTTACCATGATGAAAATACAGAAATATAGCTAGGTTACACGATAAAAGATGTACAGTTTTCGATGCTGACACGTTGGCTTAAATCACGTTCTGTTATTCATTCCTGACTAATTTAAGACAAGGCTTATTACTTACCCACGTGGATAAACCTTGGGTTTATTGCTTGCCTTAAGGAACAGTTAAAAGAAGCCCGGAGGCATTTACTGTACAACATTTTGCCCGTATTAGCTAGATTAAAGAAGCATATGCTGTGCCTGTGCTGTGGGTATGCTGTGTGTCCTGGTACCAGTCACGTTCACGTCTGATATGGCAAAAAACAAAACAAGAAATAAACCGGTTATGCAAATGCAGGTCACCTGGTCACATTATACATTTTTTGCTTTTTTAAAAAAGTAACTTTGCTCTTTAAGCTGTAATCAGATCGGCGCTGTAAACAGATAGCCGATTAAAATCCATTGGTAACGCACTCTCTAGTAAACACTCAAAAGAAGAGATGTCTTCTTTTGACTGCTTACTAGAAAGTGCGTTACACACCACAGGCAACCCATAAGAAAAAAACACCAACGGTTATTGAGGAAAGGAAACCGGCGATCAATTTCCTTTCCTCAATAACCGTTGGTGTTTCCTTCCCTGTGTCCATGATTCATATAAATAACAACACCATTGGGGACCAGTCATTATTTAAGTCGGAGGGGGGAGGGGGGTGGAGAAAATGTTTTTGTTTTTTTTCCAATCGTTTTGAGAATCTTCCCAATCCTCCCCAATTCTCCCCAATCCTCCTTTTGACTTTTCAAGGGCCCCTACGTACAGTTGAGCTAAAACTCGATAAAACACCTAATCCTGCCACAAACATTTGCAAAAGTCGGCAAGTATAAAAAACCCGACAAATTAAGTAAAACATGAATATTACCACAAGTTCTCCTTGTACTGGTAGGGGGTCTTAGTTTTCGTTTTCCTGGTTTTGCTGACCAACAATTATATTCAGTGTGACCTCGGGAAATTGTACTTCTGGATTGTGCTTAGCCATGTTAAAATCAAGCTACCGAAGAGGAACATACGTCGCAGCTGGGTACCGGAACGTGGTTTCTCACTGATTTATATACTCGTGTGGCGGAAGACCGCTGAGCATGACAGTTTTAATTTCACTAAAGGAAAGAATCAAAAGCTTGCAGTCTAAGATTTATTTTACGTATCGGAAAAAAAGCTCGCTTTAATGCGGGCGATGGTATTATATTTTATATTCCAATAAAATAAACACATAAAATTATATCCATTTACTCTACTAGTTATAGAAATAAATAAACAAATCAATAACACTGTACGTTGTACTCTTTATTTCAACTAAAAAATACCTTTTCAGCATTCCCAGAATTTAAAGACCTCGAACATATTTTCTAGTCGTATCAGTTTTTACAAAGTTTCTTTGAACTCGTTGTAGATCAAGACCAACACTTTCGTTTGTATGTAGTGCTCTGGTCACCACGGACACGTCCTAAGCCCACAGCAGTTATAGGTCTGGTCAGCGGTATTGAAACCAAGGGTGATGGGCCAGTTAGTCCCCACTACGAACTATTCTATGTTGTAAAATATGATATACAAGACTATGACCACTAGCTAGCGAGTTTATTATTATTATTTACTAATAACCAGTTCGACATTAAAATTACGATGGGTTTGATGCAGATAAATTACATCCCTACCCATGAGGCTAAACGGCGCAAAAAGATGGGGCCGCCTTGTTGTTTGACACGAATGAAATCAGCCCGGCGGACAAGTCAATCAACATGGCGGCTGTGATGTCACATGTACCCTACGATTACGCCCCATGTATATGATTTTAGCGTACGATACCTATTTTATATAAATTAATATCATTTATGGATTATCTTCCAACGTACGGTTGAACCTAATTAAATAATTAAATGACTAAAGTTGTGCCTGGTTCACACAAGCGATGCAAGCATACGCACAACGAATTACGCATGCGCAGTCTACTAAGGTCAAGTCGCGCGCCAAACTCGTACCCATGGTCTCAAAAAAATGGATTATGTCAGAGCTCTCCTTCGACGCAGGCCAGAAGAAACGCAGGCTACGGGTAAGAGATTGTTCAAATGTTATAATTAAAAAGGAAATCGCATGTATGTTATTCATTAACAGGAATTACAGTCTCCCACTCCCCATTTCAGATTTCCCTTGAGAATAATTTTAGCCGCGACGGTCCATTGTCTCTGAAGTAAAACGAGTCTACATATTCTGCTTATGCTTGCATTACGAGAGTGAGCCAGGCTTCAAAAACCTCCCCCGATAAATTATAACTTCTACGAACTGGGCTAAACTATGAATTGTATAGAACGGTTTGAACCCAGGTGAATGAATGTTAATCGAAGTAATATGATCATCCGGGTGGATGTAGTCCTGAGAAGGACTGTTTGAWGTGACYGACGTTTCGACAACCTGAGCGGAAGTCATCTTAAGAGTCAAGTGAAGAATAAAAGTACTTTTATCATATTACTTCGACTAATAAACTATGAATGACGCATGCGCAAAACAGTTTGACCTGGTTCAAGACAGTGAGATCATACGATAAATATCGTATCGACTCTACGACAAACATCGACACAAAATTTACATCCTAAGCTATCTTTGACATGATGCCAATATATCTTATAGGATCAACTTTAAGAATATTCATTACTTTTCTAACTATTCCGTTCCTTAAAATTAAATTCTTTCATCTACACAAATATTTGTGGGCTCCCTGTGTTACCACAGAAAGCCCGGTACAGTAACGATGGYATTCAGGTATTTCTAAAGGAAGATAAACGGAACTAAAATAATTTTAAGACGTCAACACTAATATTGTAATTTGTTTACTACATCGTACGCATTTCTTTTCAGTCTTCAATCTCGTCCTTTTCGTCTTCGACAGCAACATCAAAAAGCTTCTGGATTAGCAGGTTAAAATTATCTGGAGAAAAATAAATAAAAGGATGTTATTGAATGAAACTAGGAAGCACGGGTAGCGTAGTGGTGGTAGCGCTCGTCTTTCACCATAGCTACCCGACTACGAGTCAATTATTTGTTTACTTTTCATATTTGTGTACTTATGAGCCCGCGCGACTTTTAAGAAAACCGTATAAGCGTCTATACCACAGGAAGACCAATCAATTAAACTATACCAATAAACCAATTTATTTCTGCCGTGTGCCGTGCTCCCTGCAAGGGAGCACGGCAGACATAAATTTGTTGATTGGTCTTCCTGTGGTAGTGACGTATGCTGACGAATACGGTTATCCGCGAAAAATAGCACGGGCTCAAGTAAATATCAAAGATGGCGGCATATATAATATTAGCCCGCGCGACTTTTAAGAAAACCGTATGCACGTCTATACCACAGGAAGACCAATTAATTAAAATGTTTGTGCCGTGCTACCTTGGTCTAACTAAATAAGGGAGATACAAAGTATTTTGTCAGGCAGTAGCGGTCACATAATTATTTACTGCAAAGAGACTTGCACCAAATTTTTTTGAACTACTTACCACAACCGCCGCATTTACCCACGAGGTCCCATTTACAGAAGATAAAGTACACAGGGATCCCAAGTGCGATGAAGATCAGAGCGAGAGAAGATTCGATCGGCTCCATAGCGAATGGCGTGATAAGAAGATACAAGGCAACAAGAGCGGTGAAGATTGGGACCACTATCCATACCTTGAGGGATAAATGAATAGAATGAGTTTTAACACAGGAAGCCCACGGGGCTCCAACGTCACCAACAGGTAAACCACAAGCAAGCTTGTAACATTCCTCCTGCGCTAGTAAAATAATATTTGTCATTAACCCGAAGCTGGGAGAAATCACATTACCTTTCCGAACCTCAAAGAAAGACTGGTGACGACATTGTGGTGCAAAGGATTATGGTACTGGATTTTGTCTCGAGAGGTTGCAAAGCTTTTTGACTTCGTTTCCATAAACAGACCCACAATGCAATACACAGCGAGAAGTTTTTCAGTCCTTCTTTGAGCTTCTGAAAGATAAGCTTAATCCATGCTTTCCTGCCATGTTCAACGAAGGCCAAGGCTAAAAGAAAGCACTCCCTCTCCTACTCAATCTCGAGCTTTGGAGTTTGTGAATAATGATCTAAAAAGAAACGCATTGGTTATCGTTTCTAGCACACCAATCGTTGAAAATGACGCTTGAATTTTCTATTTTTCTTTCCTTTACCAACTTTAAGAATTTGAAAAGTAAGTAGGAAATGCATACTTGATATTGATATTGATGATATTGAAAAAGTTTGTAAAAAAAGAAATATATAGAGAAAGAGAAAGAGAAAGAGAAAGAGAAAGAGAAAGAGAAAGAGAAA